ACACACACACGGGTGCATGTATTTGAACAGAATGTGTACGAACATGCTGATAGAGCTCTGCATCCTTCCTTTCCTTTTATTTTATACCTTTTACATATTTCCATTTGTCCAAGTTAGACCCATGTCCTTCCTCCCTGCTTTGGTGTAGTGGTCTAGGGGCAAATGGACCTTAATTTCAAATAAACCTGGATCTCAGATATTGTTGATTTGTAGAGAAAACATGAGGGAAAGTTGCTGAGATGGTTTCCTGGCTCTCTCTGCTATCAGAGTCCTCTCCCTTTCCAGGCTCTGCTCAAGGGCACTGATGGCTGCAGGTGGCATTTCTCGAGCTCCCTTTTGACTGGCTTTGACCAACCAGCTTTAGCCAGTGGGAGTCCCGGGCAGTCCATAACCAGGAGAAAGGGAGAGATGAGGTCTTCCTTTCTTCCCTTTCTGCCCTGGGCAGGATCTTCACTAGCAATGCCTCCTCCTGGCTCGTCACTGCTCTGGCCCAGCCTGGTTGAAGTCTACGTCAGGACGCCTCAGCCCTGGACTCTGAGGACGACACTGTGGGAGATGCTGGGGCCCTGCTGCTCACCCACAGGGGCACAGGCAAAAGCGTGCAGCAGCCGGCCTCCAGCTGGCAGCTGCTGCAAGGGGCAGCCTAGTGCGAGCTCAGGCCTTCCCCAGGGCAGCCTGCCTCCCGTGCCTTGGGGGGTGGGGTGTTCGGTGCCCGGTCACTTTGGCTTCATGCAGGAACTCTCATGAGCGACACCAGACTTGGCTGAGGTTTTGCTTGGTTTGCAGCCCAGTGCAGTTTCTTCCTCTGCAATCCTGCTGCTTCTCCTTTCCTTTCCCTGGGATTGACCCCTAACAGACATCCTGTACCCCAATTTATGCTTAAGGTGTGGTTCTGGAGATGCAACCCAACGCCACTTCTCTCTGTCCTTCCAGCCAATGGCTTCCTAGGGAGCCAGTCTCTGGGGGACCCCACCACACCCCCCTTTTTTTTTTTAAAATGTGTAGTTTGGTTTTTTTTTTTTTTTTTTTTTAAAGATTTTTATTTATTTATACATGCACTGGGTACAGTCAGAAGTGCGGGAGGGTGAGAATTCACCAGAGCCAGAGCGGGGAGCAGAGCAGGCAGAAGGACCGAAGTACACTGCTGAGGGGAGCAGCGGGCGGCAGGAGAGGTCTGCGCGCCATGTGGGACCCTCCTCCAAGAGCAGCTGGGGATCGAACCGGCGCTGCAGAGTCTGCGGGCAGCTTCGCAACCCAGCGCTCAACCGCTGCGCCACCGGGGAGGCCCCCACCACACCCTTTTAAAACATTTAAATTTTATGCCTCCTGTGTAACCAGTTCACTGCATTACATTCCCATCTGCTTGAACACTTACAGCGGGTTCTGTTTTCCTGGTGAGACATTGCCCGAACACTGAGTTTTACATCTAAGTTTATATTCTGGCCTCCCTGCCCATGCAATTGTGTTATAAAGGGCATCCCAGCTCACACACAAAATATTAAAAGATACAGCCCTTTCCTTGGCCTCAGACCCATCTGTCAGTTGCAGACGGGTCACATAGGCCTTTAAAAGACAGGAAAGAGCCAACTGTGGAGGTGCAGTGTGAGCAAGTAAAATCAGCAAGCTGCAGGTTTACTGTGTCCCCCATAGTCCTCAGTCTGGGTGGCCCGGAGCCTCTCCTTACCGCCACCTGCTCTCAGCTGTCACCTGTGACTCCAGCTGGGCTTGGACATATTTGGCACCAGACATCCCTGCACTGGGCTCTGGCTTACTTCTACTGACCTCCCTCCTCCTCCCACATTGGGGCTGGGTCTGAGGTTGGTCAGTGTCTCTGGCCCACGCTTCCCTGGCTTTCTCTTGGGGCTGAGCTGGGGCTGGGGTGAGTCAGCCAGGAGCACAGACAACAGCCTCAGGATTTCCTTGTGTAGGTGCAGGGGGCGAAGCTCTCTTTGGAGGGTAAGGTGGGATATGGGCAGAGTCTCACCAGAGACTGGGTGGAGGGCTAAGTCTTGTATCAGCCAGAGCACAATCAGGAGGTTAAATCACATCAGTTTGTTTTTAAGGCAGAGAAGATTCAACTCAAATAATTAATTAGGTAACTGAAAATGCAAACGAGAACTTGGAGATCTTGATGGAGGTTAAGAGTAGAAATTTTTTTTTTTTTAAAGAGGCATGTGTTTTTATTTATTTATTCGTTTGTTTTGTTTATACATGCACTGGGTACAGTCAGAAGCACGGGAGGGTGAGAGAATTCACCAGAGCCAGAGCGGGGAACAGAGCAGGCAGAAGGACCGAAGTACACTGCTGAGGGGAGCAGCGGGCGGCAGGAGAGGTCCTTGCACCATGTGGGACCCTCTTCCGGTGGCCGGGGAGCAGCCGGGGATCGAGCCGGCGCCTCAGAGGCTGAGGGCAGCTTCCCAGCCCAGCGCTCAACCGCTGCGCCACTGGGGAGGCCCCAAGAGTAGAAAATTTGGAAAGGAGGCACCACAAGACCACAAGAGACTGAGGCCTGGCTCCCGCAAGGCCAAGAGGAGGGGGTGGAATTAAGATAGTCATTAAACCTGCTATAGAAATGAAAAATCCTTTAGGCCCAGCTGCAAGCATCAGATTGCTATAGGAAATATTTGGAGGTGCAGACCAGAGGTGGGATATGGAGACTGAGGCCATTGTAGAGAACCCCCATCCTTACAAAGCAAACTAGTCACACCATAGAAGTAATTCAATTAACACAAGTTAACTCCACAAAGGAATGAGCCCCTCCCAAAGGAAAGACTATATCAGCGCAATTTCTGCCCTGGCAGCGGGCAGCAGCCTTTCTGCCCATCTGTGCCTAAGCAGGTGTTCCTTTTTGCCATCTTTCTCCCTTACAGCAGCAGCTCTGCTCCCAAGGCTGCCAGGTCATGACCATGCAGGTCTCTTTTTTTTATTTTTTTAATTTTTTTTAAATTATTTTTTTAAAACAATATTTGCTTCCCCCACCCCCTCAGATTGAGTCCCCATAGAATTTCCTTCCCCAAGGCACCCGTGCAGCATCACCACAGTCCCTGTGTTCCTCCCTCCCTCCCTCTGATCCCTCTCCCTCCTCCTCCCCTGCAGAATGTCTGATTTATAATTGTCTGTTTTTGCTTTGTTGTGTTTTGTACTGTTATTATTTGTTCTGTTATTTTTTTTAAACTGATGTCTTATTTGGTTCCCCTATATTCCTGTTATAAGTGAAACCATCTGATATTTTTTTGTTTTCCCTCTGGCTTATTTCACTGAGCATAATTCCTTCTAGCTCCATCCATGTTGCTGCGAATGGCAGGAATTTATCTTTTTGATTGCTGAGTAATATTCCATTGTGTATATATACCCCATTTTCTTGATCCAGTCATCTACTTTTGGGCATTTGGGTTGTTTCCAGGTTTTACCTATTGTAAATAGTGCCAAGCAGGCCTCTCTTTAACAAACCCATTGAGTCATAGGCAAACTGAGAGCTCCTTGGGTCAGAATAAAATAGAAAAAAGCCTCAAAGGAATAAGGAGGCTCCAGCGATAAGGCAACAAATTCCAAAGGGGACTAATCAAACACCCCAGGGCTAGAGGCAACAGGACATTCTGGAATAAGGATGATAAAGCAAAGTATGCAAAGATAAGGGCTCGGGACCGCAGAGTTGGTTCTGGGCACAGAGACAATAAGGCAGAGCGAGTGAGACCCACCAAGAACTAACCAATCACAGAGAGACTGAGGGGCTTGAGAATAATTAGGGGAGGAAGGTCTATATTCCCTGAGGCCAACTCACCTTCCGCTTCCTTGCCCCTCCCTGGCCTGCTTCCGCTGCCTGGAAGTCCCACTTTATTTCTGTCCCTTTTCTCCTTAATAAGCTTTTTCTTATGTCTATTTCTCTAAACAAACTTGCCTCTAGTATCCTCTACTCTTCTCTTCCATTTTATAATAAACCTGCCCTTTTGGATATAACTAATGCTTCTGTCTCCTGGAGAAACTTGCCATGCGCCTCTGAAAGGGGAGCTCTGGTGAAAACTTCCCCAGAGGTAACCCAAGGACCCCGCTCTCTGAACCCAACACCTCTCAAAACCCACTTGGGTGTCATGGAGGTGGCAGCTGCAGGAGCAGCCCCCCTGGCTCTGGGGCTGGAGGGCTAGAGGGAACAAAGAGTTGGGGCCACTCAACCAGCACTGCTGTCCCTTTGAGGGGTCCAGGGAGGCTGGCTCTGCAGGACTGAAGACACAGCAAACTGTGTCAGCTGTTGCCACAGCACTGCAGAGCATGCTTGGAGGAACAGGAAGCAAAGGGGACCCTTATGGGAGGGGCCAATATCTACCTCCTCCCCTGGCCTTGCAGTCTCGTGCCTGCAACTCTAACGCCCCCTGTGGGCAAAGCCTGGCAAGGAGCCACCCACAAAGCAGGAATAGGGTCTGCAGGGAGTCCTGGCCTCAGTGTCACAAGGCTGCATATCCAAGGGTAGGTCTGCAGAGGTTTTGAATAAGTGGCACAAAGAATATGTATCTGAGGAGTCAGAGAAAGAAGTGGCCTATGACTTGGCTGGCACAGGCTGACCCCAAACACAAATCAACAATTGGGTGGGGGGAGGCCCAGTAGGATTTCTCCTTCCTTGCAAACAGGAAATCAGTCACTCAGAGTTAGGATAGCAGGTTTCCAGAATGTTCCAGGACAGATGGGAGCATTGCTAATGCTACTAAGACCTTGGCAGTATCAGTGCAGTAAACCACCAGTTTCTGTGTGTGTTTTCCTGCCAGTCACCTCCCTCCCTCCCACCCACCGCACACACCTGCAGCTCCCCCGTTGCTGTGTCTGCATCAAGAACTCAGCAGTTAGGCTTGGGAGCACAGTCTGGAATCAGAGACTGAATTTGTTATCTCTTGCTACATAACAAATTATCCCAAAATTTAGCGGCATAAACTCACCAACATTAATTATGAATAAATTAGTGACTAATAATTACTGTTAATTATTAAATAATTATTATTGATTACCTGCTGTTTCTGTGGGTCAAGTTGCATCTGTCTGGATCTTCTCTCAAGGCAGTAGTAGGGTTGCCCCCGGGCCGCTTTCATCTCAAGGTTCAGTTGGGGAAGAATCCTTCTCCAGGGTCACTTGTGTGGCTGTTGGTATAGATCTGGGGTTCGCACTGGCTATTGGCCAGAGGCCTCCCTCAGTTCCCTGCCATGTGGGCCCCTCCATGGGGCCCCTTACAACAGGGCAGTTTCTTTTCCCAGAGCATGCGAGAGACAGCAAGGGCAGAAGTCATGGGCGTTTTTAACTCAATCTTGAAAGTTGACATTCCATCACTGTCCTCGTTCCCCGAGTGTTAGAAGCCAGTCACCAGGGCCAGTCTACACTGAAGAGGAGGGGATTACTCTGTGGGAGATGGAGGGAGAATTTTCCTCTATTCCCAGTGGGTTCTTCCTGGGCTGGTCAATCAGGTTAACACCAGACAGATCTGTAGAAAAGACTGACTGAGTGACCTACATACTGAGAATCTACATGGATGTGAATTCTAAAGCCAGTGGAGCAAATCGAAGTTGTGTGACCTGAACTAAGAAGTGGGATGGGGGGCCTCCCTAGTGGCACAAGGGGTTAAGCACCGCACTATGAAGGAATCTGCAGCCTCTGCAGCATGAGTTTGATCCCCGGGCGGCCAGGGAGCAGCCCACATGGCGAGGCAGACCTCTGCTGTCTCAGCCGCTGCTCCCCTCAGCAGTGTATTTCGGTCAGTCTGCCTGTTCTGTTCCCCACTCTGTATCTGGTGAATCCTCTCACCCCCCACACTTCTGTCCTGTACCCCAGTGCTTGTATGCATAAATAAATACATCTTTAAAAGGAAAAAAAAAAAGAAGTGGCATAGGGGCCTGGGGCTTCTGGAAAAACGAGGGGGGCTGACATGACAAGGAGAGAGTGACTCATCGACAAAGGCCATCTGGTCTTTGTAATTTGATGTGTAATGAGATGTTTGCACTGCTGAACAGATAAGTTTCTCTGATAGAAAGGTTATTTCTGATGAAAGTCCGATATATGAGAGACATCCCTAGTTTTCTTTCTTCTATGTAGTTAAGGCAATGGTAAAGTTTCTTGTGAGTCTGCAGGGCCTCAACTGAGCTTAGCTCGAAATAACCCACAAGCCACAGTGACGTGTCTTGGGAAAACCTGTCTGAACATCTTGGGGAGGTCTGTTCTTCAACACAGACATGAATACCAGGGAGCAGGGGGGAACTGGGGACCATTTTATTTATTTATTAAAGATTTATTTATTCACACAAGAGCAGGGGTGCAGACCAGAGGTGCGGGGATGGGGGTGAGAGGACTCACCAGACAGAGTGGGGAGCAGAACAGGCAGATCAACTGAAATACACTGCTGAGGGGAGCAGCAGGCGAGACAGGAGAGAGACAGGAGAGGTCTGCTGCGTCATGTGGGTCAGCTCCCTGGCCAGGGATCGAACTGGTGCAGCAGTGGCTGTGGATAGCTTCATAGTGCTGAGATTTAACCCCTTGCACCACCAGGGAGGCCCTGGGGACCATTTTAGAGGCTCACAGCCATGTCCCTTCTCCCCAAGACTCAGGCCATCACGGAGTTTCACTTAGGAATAGCAGATAATAGCACGAATAACAAACTGAAGCCTGATCTTAATACATGTTGTGTCTCCTGTTCTAATCAAATTATTTTATAACAAAGTTAATTTAGGACATATATAATGATACACATAAGTATTATGGTACCATATGGTAATTAGGCAACCATGGTGGAAGGTTCGCTGCAATGACTGTAATTAGTATTACTTCTACACAGCCAACCCCATTGAACTCCCCTCATTTGTTTAGGTTGCCCGCATCTATCATCAGCCTCCATGCTGATAGTTTCCCCCATACCACCTACCACTTAATTATCACCCCACATGCAAACTCTGACACTCACATACGCTGAATAACAAAGATCCTACACATTATCATGTAATCGTTGGGGGCTTTGTCTCTGCCTCCTTCCCAGGGTTTCCCCGTTTCTCCTTCCTCCCCAAACAAAAACTCCTGAGCAGCAACAGGCTTAGGAAGAAGCAACAGCTGGATAGGAGGCTGGGAAGTGGATTTCTCAAGGAAGATGCTGGCAGAGCAGAGGGGCTGGTGGAAACAGCTCGAACTCTCCAGCACTTCTGAATGTTCTACTTGAATTAGGGTCAAGCAGGTTGCGTATTGTTTGGGGTAATTTTAGCAGGGAGTAAAGTCTTTTAGCTTTTGGTAACCAGAGAAAAGCAGACATGTAAACCGAGGCAAGAGGACATACTGGTATTGGGTGCCCCTTAGTTATTTGGGACCTGTTGTCAGATCCTTTCTTGCATTGTTGGGAGAGAATGAAGATTGGCCAGAGAGGAGGAAAGGAGAAAGAAAATACCAGAGGTAGGGGTTTGGGGGGGAGGGGACAGATAGAGGAGAATTGGTGCCTAGAGACCTACAATGTAGGGTTGCCAGATAAACCATTGGATAGCCAATCCAATTAGAATTTCAGATAATGAAAAATCACTTTAGTCTGAGTATATCCCATACCATCCTTGGGACATACTTATACTAAAAATTAATTTTTATTTGAAATCCAGATTTAACTGTATTTTTACTTGCTAAACCTGGCAACTCTACTACAGGATCAATCTCATGTTTCCTTTTCATCCTAGAATGTGTCTTGTCATCATCTCGAGTGTCACGTTGCCGTGAAACCGAAGGGGCCTCCTGGTCTTTGTGATGGCCGTGATGCTGCATTAATGCTGCTCTCTTCTGCTGGTCCCTGCCTGTTATCTCCAGCACCCCAGGATCCAACGTTGCTGTGCTACCAGCCCCAGGCAGCTGCAGGGGCAGCATGTGGCAGGACAAGCTACATGCTCAGCTGAGGTCCCCCTGACCCCCTCTCTCCAACGTGCTCAATAGCACTTGACCCCCAGCTTGGCCTCTGGGAGTGGTGTGCCTCCAAGTGGATAAGTGGTGTGTGTCTCAATCCAATGTGACAGATTTTGAGGCTAAAAGATGATTCTGGGTGTGGATTTAAATGTGGGCAAAGCATTTCTTGCTGAGCAGTTCATGTTAAAAGGGATTCAGTTTGCCCCTGGAAGAGTAGCTGGAAATCTTCACTTGCGGGCCTTCTACCCAAATTACTCTTCCAGGTTTCACAGTATCACGATTCCTATTTTAGTGGCTAAGTTTTTTGATTCACCAAGCAGATGAAACCTCAAGAAATGCTCACTTTTTCATCGCAGAAGAGAAAAGCAAAATTTGAATCTCCAAGGTTTCTACAAAAACTCTGGAAAAACCCAGGTTCCAGTAAATGCTAGTTTTCCCCTTTAATTTGCTCTCTATCCTTCTATCTAATTGCATGATGGGCAAAACTTGCCTGCTACTGGGAGAAAGCTGTTCTCTCTGCCAGTTGTCCAAACAATGGAAATTTCCTGGCTTCCTCGCTGCAGTTTTTCAAAGTAAATGGACATATGCTGCATTTACAAAGCTAGCTGTTCTAGGGCCAAAAAAAAGTACAAGAGGAAAAGACTCACCTTCAGACCCCGAATATAGGCAAAACAAAGGTGTGGTGAGGCTGAAACGCCCATGCTGCTCTTCACACTTCTGGTTCTTTCTTGGCAGGGTTGCGTGGCCCCAGTGGGATGCTAAGACATGGCAGCTAGGAGGAACAGGACGGGATATAATCCTCAGAACTAGGGCCTGGTATCGGACCCAACCTGCTGCCGGGTTAACCTCTGCCTCCACCTCTTCCCCCTGCTTTCTCTTTGCTCCAGTGACCACAGCTGCTCATCATTCTCTGAGTGCTAGGGGTATTTCTCTCCTCTTCCTGTCCCTTCTGCCTAGTTAGCCCCATCCCATTCGCCTGTGCGTTAACACACAATGTGGGGAATGCCTCCTCTAGGGTGCTTTAGGTGTCTTCTAGAATATTCCTCCACCCACTTCCACTGCTCATGAGATATAGTATATAACATTTGTTGGATCAGATCTCAGCTTTCTCCATGGTGTCCGAACATCTTGAGGTCAAAACTCTTTTGCTCACCATGTACACCTGTGTCTTTTGCAAATGTGGTTCGTATCAGGTCCTCAGTGGATGGCTGGGTGGACACAGACTGAAATACTTAATGAGTTCTGGGGTGCTGCCCTAGCCCCTCACATCAATTAGGCCTCTCTGGAGACTATAATAATCATGACGTGGACATGAGCATTATCTACAAGATTTCTAGATGCCCATTAGATATCTACAAGATTTCTAGATGCCCTCTACTCGGGGGGGCGAGTAGAGAGGAGTGAATAAAATCACTAAATAAATTGCATATGATAAAAAAAGTTGGGGGTGGTAAAAAAGTGAGGCACCAATTTTATATCATCATTCATTCAAATTTACTGAACAACTATTATGCGCTGGAGAATCTTTTAGGGGCTCCAGACACAGCAGTGAACAGGATAGGTTAGATCCTGCCTCCTGGAATTTAGGGGTGGGAAAGAGATAACAGATGAAAGAGACGATAAATGAACAAATACATAAGAACATCTGACAGTAGCAAGAGCTACTTGAAGAACAAAATCAGAGGAATGTATTGCATGATCAGGGTGGAGGTGGGGGCAGGGAGGGCCTTCGTGAGGAGGTTATGTTTAAGCTAATGAAAAAAAGAGTCACTTCTTGCAAAGGGACCCCAAAGCAGGAACAACTGAGATATTGGTATCTGGGTGTTTACCTGTTTATCTTCTCTATTGAGATGCAATCTCCGTGACAAGAGGGACCATGTCTACTTTATTTACACACATATACCTGACGCCCGCACAGCCCTGCCCATCCCACAGAATGTGCTCTGCGTCTATCATTCTTGTCTAAGGTCAGGCAGACCCTGCAGGTGTGGGCCTTGGGCCTGAGCAGGGCAGAAGCTGGTCTCCTTGTATTTGGCAGTGAGTGAGGTCTCAGGGACATAGGCTGGGTGAGAGTGTCCTATCTCAATCACTTCTTTCAAGGCTTCATGTTAGGGCTGTTTATTTTCTATGCTCATGGGAATCCATGATCAGACTTGGCTGAATTTCTTCTTATCACTCAGATGCACAATAATTTCTGGGCAAAAGGAAGCTTCCAATTAAGAGTTCAAATCCCCCAGAAGCCATATGCCAAGACACATGTGTGGAAATACCCCCTGCTGTTTCTTTGGTATGAGGATGATAACAGCTAACCCACACATCGCTCTGGGCCAGCCGGGCCTTTAGCTCAAACAAACCAAGAACCCCACAATAGTTACAAATATCCTGATGGAGCTATTGGTTCCAGGGACTGTGATCAAAAGGGAGCCACAGCCCATCAACTGCTTTGCATCTTTCCTTTGGTAAGGGCCCTGGGTATTTAATGTCTTTAAAGACTATGCGCCTCTTTTACTCTGCATGAAATATCTAAGTCCCAATACCCCCATTTGGTATAATGCTTTTGCTCTAAAACATTTGAAAGAGTTTTGTTGGCTAATATTTGGCACACAGTTAGTTAATATTGTGTAACATATCCCCACAAAATTTAGTGGCTTGAAACAACATATTTTTGTTTATCAGGATGATTCTTCTGTTCTAGGTGGGGTTAGCTGGGACAGTAGGGGAGAGCAATCACCTGAAGGTTTGACCAGTGACTCAGCTGAGGCTGAAATATCTGGATGCCTGGTGATCTAGAGTCAGGTGGGCTCTCAAAAATTTTCATAGGGTTTTAAGACACTCTGAGGGCCTAAGACCACCTGCAGTGCTTAGAAGACAAACGTGGTGAATTTTGCATGTAGTTGCATCCTCTTTAGCTCTAATCCCTGACTTTCCCTTCCATGGGTAGAATTCTTCAGATCATCTACCTAGTTTTCACAGGAATTCTCCCCTGAGACACTCTTGGGATGATGACCTAGGCTTCCAGAAACAGAGACCACAGCCAAGCAGCCCTAGTGCTCACAGAAGACCCAGGTCTCCAGATTCCACTTGCTGGCCTGGTTCTATGGCCAGGAAGGTAAAATCAACTTTCTCTCCTGCAGTTACTAAAAGACCAGGTCAACCTGAAAACTTCTTCTTTTTTGAAGATTTATTTATTTATGCATACAAGACATGGGGTGCAGGCCAGAGATACAGGGGGTGAGAGGATTTACCAGAGAGAGAGTTGGGGAACTGAACAGGCAGATCTACTGGAATACACTGCTGAGGGGAGCAGCAGGCAAAACAAGAGAGGTGTGCTGTGCCATGTGGGTAGCTCCCTGGCCTGGGATTGAACTAGTGCTGCAGAGCCTATGGATAGCTTCATAGTACTGCATCTTAACCCCTTGTGCCATCAGGGAGGCCCTTAACCTGAAAGCTGCTTACTGAGAATGTAACATCAAAATAGCCCCATTAACTTTCTTTTTTACTATTTGCCAAAGTACAATGTACACGTAAAAATGCACACATACAGCTTCCCAATTCAAGACACTAGACACTTATAGTCCACGCACAATCAAGGGCTGGATCATGGTCAGAGTTCAGGAACCTCTTCTGCTCACTACCACCCCCTCTGGTCCAAAGTTAGCCATTCTTTGGCCTAACAGTTTCTGCCTGTCTTTGTCCTTAATAGAATGAAACAGTGTATTTTCATTTGTGGCTTTACCTTTCTGAGATCCCTCCATATTACTGTGTGTAATTGTAGTCGTATTCTCATTGTAGTGGTATCCTCACTATTAGATAATGTCCTATTTGTGAATTCACCACAATTTTTCACAATCATTTGGGTAGTTCCAGTTTGAAACTACTATGACAGTGCAGCTGGACACATCTGAGCAGCTTGGGGGGAAATATGTACAAGTGAGTGGGGATGGCCTCGGACAGGAGCTGCTGTGTCATAGGGCATGTCTATGTTTAACCTCAATGGCACTGCCAAGTAGTTTTTCCCAACCGTTAACCCTCTTCTTAATCTAAAAATGAAGACAGCTGCCCCCGATCTAACCCTTCTTGAAACTGTGACAAATCTCAAACATGACATTATTTCTTCAACACAAGATTTCCAGATTTCTACCAAAACACGGGTGCTAACATTTCAAAATAAATAAATGCAACCACGAAACCCTCTGCAGTGGCAGACTGAAAAAGCAAAGAATCCAGATGACAGCTAGAATGCCAAGATGCTAAGACCGTCCTCTTTGTTTGCCAAGAGGGCTGGGAGCCTTTTGCAAAAACTGCTGCCAATCAGGCTCGCCGATGTTTGCAGGGCTAATGAGCGGCACTCGGGCAAGCGATGGGGGCGGGTTTCTGCACCGTGATGCGGATGGAGCCATCCCGGGTTTAGGGCTAATTATAAACACAAAGAGCATTTAAAGGCTATGATTTAAAGAGCCGCCCCCCCCACCCCCCCAATTAAAAAGGCTCTTCAGAATTCTAATGTCAGCATGCTCGTGATCGCTTGGCTTCGGGGCAGGAGTGCCAGCAAAAATCTATCAGGGCTAAATCACACACGCCCTGTGTCACGCTGTGGTCCTCCCAAGCCCGCACAGCTGGAAGGATTTTCTTTGTGTCCTGCAGGGGCTGGGGGAATGTGCTAATTCCATTTCCAGGGGCATCCAGGCCCTGGCAAGATAAACCTGTTATCCTCTTGTTCTGAGCGAGCATGGAGGAGCAGAGTGGGGCAAACCAGGCCCCTGCAGGGCTGGGTGGGGTGGGGTTGCCTGTGCAAGCTTTGATCCTCAGTAGCTACACACCACAAATAATCCATACGGTATGCAAATCAGGTCTCAATTAATAACACTTATTAACATCTCTTGGAACCTTGCAAGGAGAGGCTGTAAACGTTTGCCAGGGAGGAGAGCAAGTCCTGTGCACGTCATTGGAGAGCTTGTCCCATCAGGCAAGAAACCTGGGCTTGCTGGGAGGGAGAATGAAGCAGAAAGGGAAAGGCTGCTGGGTTGCCCTGGGGCTTCTGGAAGGGTGCCCACCCTGGCAATTTGAAGTGAGAAGCAGGGATCAGAAGCGCAGTTTCTAAGTGTAGGGTAAGGTAAAAGGTATCAGGCTTTTCTGCCCTCCGCCATTAGGACAGATGAGGGAACCCTGTGGTCCTGAATGCATGCCTGAGGGCGGGCACCTGGAGTGGGTACACCTGGGTTGAGAGACTGAGTTTATAAGGGCGGCGTCAGGGGGATGCCAGCAGAAGCCAAGAACGAACAGAAGCCGAGAAGAAGAGAAGCAGAGAGAAGGCCAGAGAGGCCAGAGAGAGTGAAGACTTGCTGGGGGCCCGGGAGGCCTGCCAGCCTCCCGGGCCCCCAGCACCCCTGCCTGCCATATGCCTGGTAAATCTAAATAAGAGACCAGCAAAAGCCACTGAGGACTGACTCCTCCTTCACCTGGTCTGCTGGACCAGAAAACTTGCACTGTGTCCAGTCCTGCCTCTACACCATGAGTACCTTTCCCTTGAAGCACTAATTATCAAGGCCCCAATGAGGCCTGAATATACAACCGTGGTCCCCCACCAGCCCTGAGAAAAGACCAGGACCACCAAAGTCCCCTCAAAAAGGGGGAAAAAAAGATTTAGTCTGGGGGGAAGGAGCAAAGGAAAAGCCATGATCACTTAAAAAGATGAGAAGCTATTCACACTAACAGTCTCGTACACTGTAGTGCAAGAGGGTCTTAATCTTACCTTCTGGCAGCATAAAGAAG